ATTCCCCATATTTCTTTTTCCTTTCAGAAAAAGAGTTCTTTTGTGAAAACTGTTTGTAATAAGCTTAAGGTTAAGGATATATATGGTCTTTTGTTGATCCTGATGAATTTGGGAGGGGGGGTTACTTTTGTTCTGGTCTGATAAGATCACCATCTTGGAATTGAATTGCTTTCAATTCTGTTTTGAGGTTAAGTACCATTTTGAAGGTAATTATGAGATTCAGTGGGCAGTCTTCCTATATGCCAGTACTTTCCCTTGGTATAGAGATCTTCAATGGAGCTTTCTGCTCAGGAGGAAGATCTCTTGGGCAGATAGTTGGTTGGTTAGTGGAGATTTCATGATCTATTGTCCAATGAGGAGAAGAAGGGATGGCAGTTAAGGGCTGAGTCTAGCTTTGAGGGGTTTAGGAATTTTGTGAGAGGTCTTGGGGTTGTTGAACCTTCTTATGTGGGGAATGAGTTTACCTGGTCCAACCTTAGAAAATTTTTAGATTTTGTAGATGAGTAATTGGATAGGATTTTTATCTCCCCTAGGTGGTCTATCCAGTACCCAAATGCCAGAGTTAATGTTATTTCTCTTTCATCTTCAGACCACAACTTACTTTTGTTAGAACAGAACCCTCACAGGGATAAAAGGAAGAAGAGATTTTGTTATTTCAGTCAATTGTTCAGAAAGCTTGGAATATTCAGGTGGAAGAACCTGACTTGCTAACATTGCAAACAAGAATTATGATGTAAGAGTTGCACTATTACAGTGGCTTGCTGGAAAAAATCACAACTCTGCCAAGAAAACCCAATACTGCAAAGGATAAACTCACATGGATGGCCAACCAAGGAGGATTCTGGGATTGGGAAGCTTGGGACTGTTGCAAAAGAATGCTTAGTCAGGCCTACAGGGATGAAGAAACATTCTGGAAAGTGATGTCTAGAAAATAGTGGTTAGCGGAGGGAGACAGGAACACAAGATTTTTTCAAGCTTGCGTTAAACAGAGAAAAAAGTTCAATAGCTTGGATAATCTTGTGAATGCAAGACGAGAAAAATGTGATACTAACCAAAAGGCAGTGGATGAGATCCAAATGTTCTTTGAGAACCTGTTTAAGACTTCTAATCCACAAGTATATAGTTGTAACCTACAACGGACCCCTATATCCATCACCGAGGCAATGGATGCAGAAATAACTAAACTAGTGGAAGAAGGGGAAATTGAACAAGCTGTTATGGATATCGACCCCCAGAAAGCCCCTAGAGTAGGAAATATGACTCTTGCTTTCTTTCAACATACTTGGACTTCTGTGAAACACCATACTTATCTTGCAGTGCTTAATTTTTTCAATGCTGGCAAATTGCCAAAAGCCACAAATTATGCTATTATAACTCTTATTCTTAATAAAAATGCATCCTTAATTTCAGATTTCAGACCTATAAGTTTATGTACAGTTACTTATAAATTTATTGCTAATATTTTGTCCAACAGACTGAGAAATACTCTTCATCTTTGCATTTCCCCAACTCAGTCTGCTTTTGTTCTGGGGAGACAAATTTTGGATAATCTAATTCTTGCTAATGAGTGCATCCATTTTCTTAACAACAAAAGGAAAGATTTAGATAAGTACATGGCTCTTAAATTAGATATGGCAAAGGCCTATGATATAGTAGAATGGGAGTTCTTGGCTAAGGTTTGTTTTTAAATGGTTTTCTTCCATAATTTGTTTCCTAGACTATGACCTGTGTTTCATCTTCATCTTTTTCCTTCAAAGTCAATGGTCAAGTCCTAGGCTCTGTTGTCCCTACTAGAGGCCTTAGACAAGGAGACTCATTGTCTCCTTACCTATTTATTCTTTTATTAGAATCCTTTTTAACATTCTTAAGCAAGCTCATCTGAATTCTGTATATTCGGGTTTGAAAATTAGCAAGTTTTTCCCTGTGCTAATTCATTTTTTTATGGATGATGTTTTTCTCTTTTGCAAGGCTTCTATTAATCAAGCTTGTGTGATTATGAATATTATGAGTACTTATGGTCAAGCATCTGGTCAGGCTGTCAATCCCCTAAGAATTCTGGCTCAGTTTTCTAAGAATACTAATACAATTACCCTGCAGAACATTTGTACAACTCATAATGATATCTCTTGTGTCCATTCTGCCAAGTATCTTAGTCTTCCTTTGGGAATTAGGAGATCAAAGAGGGAGACTTTTAAATTGTTTTCAAGTGTGTTCTGAAAAGAATAAGTTCCTGAAAAAATTTTCTGAGTGAAGCAGAAAAGAAATTTAGATCAAAATTGTACTTAATGCATTGCCACTGTGTGTGATGACTTGCTTTGAGCTCTCTGTTTCTTTGTGTCATGATACTAGCAGAGATATTGCTGAATTCTAGTGGGGTAAAACTGAGCATGAGAGAGTAAGATTCATTGGGCTACTTAGGCTTTATTGTCTAAGTGTAAGAATCAAGGGGGTTTGGGTTTTAAAAAACTTATAGCTTTTAATGAAGCTCTGATCTCCAAGCAGTTGTGGAGAATTCTCATAAATCCCAACTCTTTAGTCACCAAAGTTCTTAAGGATAGATACTTCCATAAAACCAATTTGTTTGAGGTTGAGAAGAAAAGCAATGACTCTTGGTTATGGAAGAGTTGGCTTAGTATGAGAGAGAAATTCAAGAAGGGAATTAGATTTAGGGTTGATGATTGGAAGTCTATAAATATTTGTAAGGATCCGTGGGTACCTAATTTGATAGTGATAGAAATAGGCTCACTAAAGTGAGTGATTTAATGGTGAGAGGGTGCTTAGAGTGGAAGAGAGAGTTAATAAAAAAAAAACCTTTAACCCCCTCGAAGCTGAGGCTATCTTGAGAATTCCACTTTCTTCACATCCTAAAGACATACTCTTGTGGCATAAAGGCAAAAATGGGGCATTATGTGATGCTTAACCATTTAACAAGGACTAAACACAAGGCTGGTTCGAGCTCTTACTATGGCAGACAGAAGAAACAGTGGACAAGATCCTGGAACTACCAATATACCCAAAACTAAGAAACTTCATGTGGAGGGTGTATAATGGTTTCTTGGGAACCAAAGTCAAACTGAGGACAAAAGCCTACAAGTAGATCCTATCTGCCTTTTATGTGGAAAGGAACATGAAGAAATTGATCATCTGTTTGTTCACTGCCCCAGAGTGAAAAGATGTTGAAAGTTGTTGGACATCTAGTGGGATTTGGTATACAAAAGGCAAGCAAACATCAAAACCTGGTGGGAGAAAGTGTGTTCAAGCAACAAATATCATCAACTTCAAGACATAATCACTCTCTCGGTTTGTCTATTGTGGAGAATTTGAAAGGCAAGGAATAACTTGCATTTTAGTCAAATCAAGTTTGATGTAGTTGAAGTGGTAAGGTGTGCAAAATCAGATTGGTTTGAATGTGTAGAAGCTGTAGAACTCTTACAAAGAAAGAACAAAGCTCAACTAGTTACTACTGAGGATCATAAAGAGAGTTTTTCTAATGAAGTAGGGTATGTCTCTTTTACATATCAGTGCTTTAATCTCTTATTGTGGGAAAGTAGGAGCTGGAGGAGTGGTTTCAAATAGAGAAGGTATTCTACACATGTGGCACAAATCTTGGAACATGCAGAGTACTGGAATGACTGCTTCTATGCTAGCAATGAGTTGGGTTCTGAACTTGGCAATTAAGTGAGGCTGGAAGAAAGTGGTGTGCTTTATGGATTCGCAGGAGGTGAAGGATGAATTGTCAGAAGCTTTGTATGTGAGGCCTTTCTCATCAGCAATGCTGCAAAAAGTTTCTCAACTTGTGTCTCGCTTTGACTCTTGTTCTTTTCCTGGTTTCTTCTTGTTTTAAATTTCCTAGCTCTAGTTTAGCCTTGATGGCTTTAGAGGGTGAGCAGTGATTTTTTGTTTGTTTTGGTTTGAGTAGGTTATGGTTGTTTAACTAGTTGGTTACCATGTAAACCTTCATGAGTTTTAGTTTAATCTGTTCGTTTGAAAAAAAAAAAGAATCTTATATGTAGAGCGCAAGTATCGAGTGATTCATAATCCTAATTGTATTGTTTCTTAATCTTATATGTCTATCTTTCGAATTAGTTTACATAGATTTGAAGATTTGAACTTTTACTTATGGACTTTTAAAATTATAAAATACTTTGTCAATTTAAATTTTAAATATATGTTAATTTATTGTCGGTCTAGGAGATTGGAAGGCCGGTTCGAGGTGCAACGGCACATCATATATAACTTGATGTACATGATAACTTAGGTAGACTCATATATGGTGGGACACATCAGACTTTTTCTTATTTATTATGTGGTTCATACCTAATGTGAGGGTATTTATACCATAATCTACAAAACTTATATATGAAGATCCTATTTCTATTACCCCGTTGGGGTCGGCTCTAGGCAGTCTTCCGACTGTCCTCTCATTTTATTCAGTTGTTGGCTGTTTATATTCAGCTTTTGGCTGTTTGTATTCAACTAGTGGCTGTACTTTTGTAAATTTGTGTGGTTTATAAATATATCTATCGTTTCGAAAAAAAAAAAAAAAAGAAGATCCTATTTCTATTAGAATATATGCACATGTGGTTCAACTTATGATATGCAGCTTGGCCCATTTAGATTCATTTAATCATTTTCATTCCTGGCCTCAAAGCATCAAAACAGTATGAGTCAAGTCAGCCTCAAAGCATTATTTATCCTTTGACAACGGACAACCAATATGAATGAAAGTTGAGATTTTCATGTACTCAAGCATATAAAGAATGATAAGTAAAAATAAAAAAGTTATAAGCTAGGTAGGTTGTGACTTGTGTGCATATTTCCTCATCAAGAATGAGCCAATATTGGGACAAGGTGACTTCCAAGTCATGCTATTCTTTCTTACACTTAAAGTGCTACCTATCATTGTCCACACAAACTCTCATTTTTATAGCATCACCATCTCTTCCAATTGTTCTCCCTCCAAATACAAACAATCAAGTAAAAAAACAAACAAACAAACCATGAGTTCAACTAAACTCATTTGTCTATCCATTTTTGTAGCCCTTCTTGCAACCTTACTATCCACAAATCTCACAATTCAACCTATAACACAACTACTCCTCAACCTCTTCTCCCAATTAACTCCTCCAACATTCCGAATATACCATCACGATCATCATCGTGCGAGTAAAAAGAATGCGATAAAAAGCATATGCGAAGATTTTCCGCCCGATATCCCCCCACCCGACACGAACACAACGTCGTTTTTATGCGTGGATTCGAATGGTTGCTGCAATTTCACTACTGTTCAAGCCGCAGTCGATGCGGTTGGTGTCATGAGCCCAAAAAGGACCGTTATTTGGATCAACAACGGAATTTATTTGTAAGCTCTCCCCATATCAATTTTCTCTTTCTCTCTCTCTATATGTATCATTATTTACATGTTGGTATGCGATAAATTATGAAAATTCAGTGAGAAGGTGATAATTCCGAAAACAAAGGCGAACATAACATTTCAAGGGCAAGGTTACACTTCAACGGCGATCGTGTGGAACGACACTGCCAACTCCGCACACGGCACCTTCATGAGTGGTTCGGTTCAAGTTTTCTCGACAAACTTTATTGCCAAGAACATAAGTTTTATGGTACATCATTAATTATAGAAACATAATAACAACCGTAGATGGCGTGTTCACTCAGTCGAACAATATTCGTTAATTAAAATAATTTTTTTTGTATCAGAATGTGGCTCCAATGCCGGTCCCTGGAGCCGTAGGGGCACAGGCCGTGGCCCTTAGAATCGGGGGAGATCAAGCTGCCTTTTGGGGCTGTGGCTTCTTCGGAGCACAGGACACTCTTCATGATGACAGGGGTCGCCATTATTTCAAGGATTGTTATATTCAGGGCTCCATTGACTTTATTTTTGGTAATGCCAAGTCATTTTATGAGGTAATTAATTAAATTTTTTCTTGAGAACTTATAGTTAGCCTTTGATCATAAAACAACATTAATTCTTAATATACACAACAAAACAAGCAAGAAGTTACATACTTGTTAACTGATTAAGAACTGCACAATTAGCTCAGCGCTCCACTTGTTGATTTACAGAATTGCCACTTAACTTCCATAGCTAGCCCGGTGGCACCTGGCGCACGGGTCATAAACGGAGCCGCGACTGCACAAGGCAGAGCCTCCAAGGACGAAAACAGCGGCTTTTCGTTTGTGAACTGCAGCATTGGTGGGACCGGAAGAATCTGGCTCGGCCGAGCTTGGCGGCCTTTCTCCACCGTCGTGTTTTCTTACACGGCCATGTCCGACATTATAGCATCCGAGGGCTGGAACGATTTCAACGACCCAACCAGAGACCAGTGAGAGTCTTAAATTTATTTATTTTATTTTCTTTAACAATATATAAATATTCAGAAATAGTTGAAATTAAGTTATATATTTATTTATTTATTTATTTTTCAGGACTATATATTATGGAGAGTACAATTGCACGGGTGATGGGGCAAATACAACAATGAGAGTTCCATATGCACAAAGACTTAATGAGACACAAGCTTCATCGTTTCTTAATATTTCATTCATTGATGCTGATCAATGGCTGCAGCCTTTTTCTACAGCTTAAGCGAAGTTTTGGGCCGATCCAGACTTGGCCCAATAATGTTTTAACATACAGGGCCCAATACGTGCTACCTGGACCTAACTCATTATTGGCTTTGTCTACCTGCCGGTCCAATTTAGATGTAAAATATGTATGTCGTTCACATGGTTTGGTAAAATGAGCCAAGATAAAGGACTATCATTTTCGTTTTGAAGTTGAAAAAAAGAAAAAAAGGAAATTAATTTAAGAACTACCCAATAAAATATTGAGATGAATGGATACGTATGTGCAAACAAAATTTGTGGCGGCAAAGAGATTCATTGCATGGGACTGCACATGTAATTATTAGGAAATGTTATGTGTATAATTGTTTTGCATAAGATTTGACAAAACTAGAGGGTATTTATATTGATATAGCGCCCATAATAGCTTGGCGGACCAGCTAGCTCGAGTCAGGCGGCCGGTCCTAGGGAATTTTAGTTTGATGATAGAAGTCGACCCAATTAGGGGGCTTATAAGTACAACTCAGAGCATTGGCCGATCTGATAAGGAGATTTGGAGGTCACGACATCTGGGAGATCAGGCACACGAAATGACCTCACATTACGAAGGTCTCGGGGAGAGTCGTCGAGGTGTAGACTTCGTTAAGGTCGTACAGCAAGAAGGTCGGGAGGTCGGCGTTATGATCCATTTATGGACCTAAGGGTTGTGCGGTTAAGGGGGAAATAATCCTAATTATATGATGGAAAATGTATATTGCTAAGGAGACTTCCCTATGTGGTAAACTAAGTAGATCTTGTTGGATCTCTTTCCAAGCTTCCAAGCAAGGACTCTCTTGGCCACTAAGGTACCCACACTATATAAGAGTAAACCGGGTTCTATGTTATGATCTACCGCATATTCACATACTTAGCGCATGTATTACCTGTTTATTCTCACGAGTAAACACTGACTTGAGGATCAGAGTGTCCACGCCGGGATCCCCTTCCAACATATTGAAGGTCAATGGAGCTCGAGGCAGAAGTACTCACTCTCTTATTGCATGCTCAAAGAAAAGCAGAGTAAAAAGCTCAAAACTTTGATAAAAACGAAGTCGCCTGAATTTCGCCGAAAATTATGAGTTATAGAGCTCCGAACACAAAGATAGAAAAAAGAGAGAAAATGAGCTAATTTTCCAACTAAAATATTGAAAATGAGGGGGTGTCCCAAAATACAAATCGAGATGTCTATTTATAGCTACACCACAAACGCACACTACAAACACACACATTTAGTAAGGCACACTCGCAAGTTCGTGAATCACAACTTGGGTCGGGAAGTCGGGTCGCGGGTGCTCAGGTCGCTCTGCATTGCATTCGAAGCCTCGCGGATCGCATTGCGAGTGTTCCCGGTCTCTCGCAGACGGGTTTTCTCGGCACCTAAGAACTCGCAAGCTCGCGGGTTTCTGCTCACGTCGCAAGTGTGTATGTGGACGGGTCTCCCGTGACTTAGTGTTTATGCCTGAGAAAAACACTCGCGACCTGGGCTAGTTATTTCGCGGGCGCGGGTCTCTCTTGGCAGCAGCGCTGGGCGTGCGGGTCTCTTGAACACAGGCGCGGACGTGCGGGCTACGAGTGATTTCTCATGTTGCAATGGGTCTTCTCGCGTGCTTACGGGTCTTTGCTCGCGGCGAGTGCATGGTGCTACCTCGGTCTCGACTTTCTCTCTCGCACGACTTGGATGGTTAGGATAATGGCTCGGACGGCTCGTCAATGGCTCGGGTGACTCAGACGGCTCGTCAATGGCACAAATGACTCGTCTTCCCAAGCTTGCATAATGGACCTAACAACATCAAAAGAGATAAAAAAAATACTCTGATGAAACACAAAAACACACAATGAAAGCAAAAATACACGAAACACGACAAAATGGATCGGTCAACACAAAAACGAATCTAAAAGGACTCAATTAAAGCCTGAAAAATACACGAAAAAAACGACAAAAACACAACAAACAGGAAGCAAAAATAATATTTTTCGGAGAGAAACCCACTAGCCCTCTGAACGCTTTCATTGGTGAATAGTTGTGTCCCACCATGTATAGTTTGGTCTTACACGTGAAGAACTCCCTCCTAAACCTACAAATACTATACCCCATTCCACTTACTACTTTTTGGCCAAACTCATGGACTTAGAAGCCTCTCTTGGATCCCTTATAGGATCACAACACTTATCCCAAGTGTTCAACAGTTACAAAAGAATAGGCTTCACACTTGCAACAAGGTAAAAAGACACATTTGTAAGCTCGGATTCACAGTCTATGAATATAAAATGAAATTACGATCACTAAGAGTAAACAATATAATTTAATGACATTTGTACTCTCAACCTGTTATTCTCTCCGATAATTATAATCTAAAGTTTGCTTGTTGCTTGGTTGTTGTTAGTTACCATATAATAAATGATTACTTGGTTGCAAAGATTTCTTCGATGCTTCGAATCTTTAAAATCTTCTCAAAGAATGTGTGGCCTTCATTATGACTCTTTAATGGTACGAAAGTCTTCAGATACACAAACTTTCCAAAATTAATGTAAAAACTAATTTTATTTCTTATTTGAGAGATTTTTCAAATCTGACTGAATCTTCAACATATGTTCAGTAGATATTCTTTCAGTCTTTACAAAACAAGTGCAGATCCCATAATCACGTGTATATTTCTTCCTCTAGTCAATATTCACTTTATAAAAAGTTTCTTACACGTGTAAGGAAATAACATAAAATCATCACAAGTATAGATACCTATGACTATATGTAAAGTATTAATCATGTAATCCTTCTCTCATAAGGTTAGGACTCCATAATATTTACCATGTTATAAATATTGCATACGTAGATAGAAAATATATACTTGAACTAAATAATAAATAAATAAAGAGAAAACTTCTATTTATTTAATTTATTTTGCTCGCCTACGTTTGTAGTTTATAGCCGAGTACGGAATAAATTCCAACCTCAGGTCATGCCTCTTGAGGAAGGTTGTTCGCCTTTTGATTCATGCAACGATTGACTTCACACGAAAAAAAATAATAGAAAGTCTTAAACATTCTACTCACAATTTGGGTTTTAATTAAACTAAAGAACACAATTTTAAATTAAAATGAAAGCAAGAAACAAACTTTATCGCAAGCAGCACCTTAAATTGCAAGAAAAAGGAATATAGAGAGAAAAATAATAAGGTGCCCTAAGACCCGAGACGGAAAGAAGGCACTCATAGGTTCGGGAACATGCAATCAAGCAATCGTCACTCACGAATCAATTAATCGATCTCTCAATCAATCTTCACTCACTCAACCAACAACAAAATCACATGATCCCTGGACTACGAGGATGAATGCATATTCTACTCATGAAAGCGTCTATCTTTACCTTAGAAAAATCCAATAAATAAAGGCAAGAAAAACTTACGAGATCTTGGACCTTCAGCTAATTCTCCAATTGGACCTTAAACGAAGTCTCCAAGTCTTTAGTGCATCCACGAGAAAAATTAAGCCAAAAAGTTGCAATCTTGGTGGAGAAATATTACAATAAAAATAGGGTATTGGAGCCCTAGAGAGATAAAGAAACTAGAGGGAATGAGGAGAGAAAAACTAAGAAAAAAATCTTGCAAATAAGGAATTCTCCTAAAATACAGAGCTCTAAGTCTATTTATAGTCACACCTCAAACAAACACTAAAACACACACATTTACTAAACAATACTCATGAGGTGGCCAAAATACCTGCAGGGTCGCGAGTTTACAGGGCCTGGCACTCGCGAGTAGCGGGCTGGTCTGCTGGCACGCGGCTGCACGGGGCTGGCAGGCTACTGGGCTGACAGGCATGCGCGAGGCGTGCAGAAGGCGCGTGCGAGGTGCGGGCTTTTTAGCCGGGAACTCTCCGGCCACTCTTCCGGTGATTTTCTGGCTATTTTAGCCAAGTTTCGGGTGACTCTTCGGAGTGCAATTTTTCTACAAAATAAAGAATAAAAAGAGAAATAAAAAACAAAAGACACAACAACACCAAAACCCAAAGACGAGCAAACGACAAACCTAAAATAAATAAAATGAACACAAATAAAACACATAAAAACACACAAAATAACAACAAAAAAAAAAAAAAATAAATAAAAAATCCTCCACGCTTAACTATTTGTTTGTCCTCAAGAAACAAGACAACAAGTAGTTCGAGACGAAAGATTGAAAAATTCATAGATAATGTTCGAGCGAAATGTAACTCTTCTTCCTCCGGTTATCCGTAAAATTAAACTCAAACTAGAAACATAGTCCCCACAAAATGAATTCAAACGAAATAAAAACTCGTCCCAAGTCATTCTACACATGATTTGTCCACGAGTCTCTTAAGTCGATTTCACATACTCATTGACCCGATATATCTAGAAGGAGACTAACTGGGCCAAGTGGAGTCTAATCCTTTCAACTCTTAAGAGCTCATTTTTATTCTTTTTTTTTATTTTGTGAGATTCTTTTTCCAAATGAGATTTCCATACAATTATTATCTAGGTGTAACCTCGAGGGGTTTCCTCGAGTCTTGTAAACCGATTTTTCGGGCTCATTATCTCATTCGACTAAGTGGGTCAAAATAAGAGGAGCATAATCCGTACTTCCTCGCGAACTCACATTTAATTCTTTTTTTTTTTTACAAAAGGAGCGGCACACAGGATACATCGATGATACAATAGATAAGGCAAGAATGTTTCAAGATCATCAATTGAGAATAAACAATGGACAAAACAATTCTGTGAACTCAAATTCGGGTTTCAGTGTTAACAAATCATCATTTAATTTTAGAAAATCATCCAATTCATCAAGCACACAAGACAAAAAAAATGAAACCATTCAACAATCTTCACTCACAACTTAGTCATTTTGACTTGACCAAACATTAAGCTTCATGAGGGGGAATCAAAACAAACACAGAAGAACTAAGACAAAAACTTGTCCAAGACACATAAAAACAAAGATAAAAACACCTAAAAACTAGTTCGATCCACCAAATAAGCATGCAAGATTCTCAAAAACCTCCCCCACGCAATGCCCTCATTGCGTACCCCAACAAGTGAAAGGAAAAAAAAACAAGGAACAAACATAGTCATGCAACGGAATCGAGTCAAATGCACGATAAGAACAAAACACATAAGCAAGAGAAATAAGAAAAACAAACAAAATAAGAGAAGGTAAGAAAGTGCAAACTCGGTTTGTCGCACGTCACGAATATGAA